CCCATGCCCACGCCTTGCTACACGCACCCTGTCACTCACAGCCTACTCCCCACCTGCATGTGGCCCAAGACCACTCCCTCCCGGAGCCCCTACTTTCCCTGTTGGGGACTGAGCTCCAAAGTCAGCAAAGTCGGCCCAGCTTTGGCCACTGACTGTCTAACGTCAATCCTTCACTAAGGGTTTCAGGAAGGTGGGAAACAGGGAAGGGGTCAGGAAAGTCTCCTGGGGTGCAGAGACTTGCTAAGCTTTGGGGCCGGAGGTCTCCAAGCCAGGGGAGGAACAGAGGGAGCCCCAGGTCACACCTAGCACAGCCCCCAGGCAGCCCCAGCCGGCTCCCAGCAGAACCCCAGCTGGGTCAGACCAAGGCTGGCTGGCCCTGTCGCCCCTCCCCTGCCCCCAACACACACACACACACACACACACAGTGCCACAAAGAGCCTGGCTCGGCCAGGTTAATCATTCCTGCAAACACAGACACTGGGGTGCCCCGGGCACGGCCCTCACACATCTGCGGCTGCCATGTGGAAAGGGACAGTGCCCTGGGGGGCGGGTTTCAGCTCCACCCGAACGCCCAGATGTCGGGGTGGGGGGTAGTCAGGCTCCCGGTGCCTGAAAGTGGGCCACCCCCCGAAGAAGACATTTACAAGGGCTTGGCCGCCCCTGCCCCGCTCTGCCTGCCAGGCCGGACAAGGAGACTGAGGCCCAGGGCCGTTCATCGTCTCTGTGGCCGAGTCTGGGCTGGAGGGAGGGGCAGAAATGACCACCAGCCCTGCAGCTGATCCACCCCGGGAGTCAAAGGGCAGCACGGGCTACACCTGCCGAGCCTGGGCCGTGGCGGGGGTGCAGACCATCTAGGCCATGTGTGAGCAGGCCTCGTGGGCTCGTTAAGTGATCGTGCCTCCCCACAGCCCCCTCAAAGTCGCGTGGAGGGCACAGGACTCGAGAAGGTGGGGAGGGCTCTGTGGAGCCCCGGCCAGCATCCTGCCAGAGCTTCCCTCGGTCGCCTCCTTCACCCTCACAGTAACCACGAGTATTTCAGAGTTTTTCACCCCACTGTGCACACGGGGAAACTGAGGCTCGGACACACGGAATGACTTGCCCATGACACACACAGCTAGTAAGCGGCAGGAGTGGGGCTGAAAGCTAGGCGTCTCCTGCGTCCAGGACCAGGCCCGGCACCTGGTCACCACAGGACAGCTGTCAACCTGTCGCCAGGCTCCTGGGCTCCCCTGTGCATGGTGTTGGACTATGCCAGGCTTTCAGGGGGCAGGACGGCTCGTAGGGGTCCCCAGGTCTGGGTCCCACAAGGGCACAGCTCACCAGTGTTCCAAGTGCTCTCGTGATGGCTCCCGGAGGGAGGCAGGGAGGCTGGGCGGAGAGCATGAGGCTCAGGGATGGCCACGCTGGACTCTGGACGTAGTGGAGTCACGTGGTCGGGCCTCACTTTAGCCTGAGCCGGCCCCTGGCCTCGCAGACCGTGACATGGGAGCCGAGGCAGCCTGGACCCACCTGGCTTGTGGCTGTAACCCTGAAGTCCCACATCCCCGTCCACACACCCAGAGCCTGCTTGTGGACAAGTACAGTCAAGAAAGAGGGAGGGGAGGCGTCAAAAAAGCCTAGGCCCCTGTCCTGGCTCGGTGCCTCTGCATGCTGGGCGACTTTGGCCCGGGTACCTGCCTTCTCTGAGCCTCCGTTGGCTCATCTGCAAAATGCAGCCAATGGTCGAAGGATATGTTTGAGAGTGTCAGGAAGGCCCCGTCCAAGGAAACTGTCCAATGACTTCAGTCCCCCGCCCCATGGTCTCTGAAGCCCCTCCCAGCTTCCAGGCCACCGGACAGCAGAGACCCAGCCCCACACCTACCAGCAGGATGTCGGCAACCACCGCCCAGTTGCAGGACAGAAGCAGCTCCCCGAGGGCCAGGAGCACCTGTGGACAAGGACCCTGGTCACCGACCCTCCCTGCCTGGTCTCTTCCCGCCTGCAGAGAGAGACCGAGGCCGCACAGAGAAGGGCGCCATCAGATCTGCTGGGGGAGGCGAGGCCTGAGCAGCGTCTTCGGTTCCAGCAGCCTCCAGGGTGGGCAGACGTTCCCGTCTGGGCGGGCTGGCGGCCATGACCCAGAGGAGAGCGCCAGGCCCCGGGCCTGGGAACAGCCTGCTCCCTGATGGACGGCCCCCAGGCCCAGCTGCTGAGGTCCCCCGTGGGGCCCCAGGAAGAGGCAGCCAGGACTTCTGGGCCACTTGAAGGCTGGGAAAACAGACTGGAGAGGAGAGAGGCCCAGGGACTGAATAGTTTGCTCACCCCTCCTGTGTCCCCCTAAGGCCTGCATACGATGATAAGGTACACACAGTGGGCCAGCCCACCTGCCTGGCCCGGGCACCCCATCTACAGCCCCTCCCAGGCTACCTCCTTCCCAGGCCCCTTGAGCAGCACAGGGGAGGCCAGCAAGGCCGAGCCGGGGGCAGGGCCAAGGTTTCCCAGAGGTCACCGGCTGGCCCAGGGCAAAGCCAGCCTGGAGCGTGACTCCTGGGCCCTGGCCAGCAGCCCACCCCCTTCCCCGATACCTGTGGGGCTGGTTTAACTCTGTGTGCCCCCCTCCCTGCCCCACTGTCTGCCGGGGACCAGGGGCCACTGTGGGCCTGCCCCACCCAGCAACCTGAGTCCCTGCCTCTGCAGAGGACTGGGACAATCCTCATTCCCCTTGCTCAGGAAGAGTTTAATGAAGCGGCAAGAAGGGGAAAAAAGGCATTTCTCAGAGCTTCCAGGAGCTTATGCTGGAGTGGAATTAGTCATTCCTGGAGTCACGGGGCTGTGCTGGGGCGGCCCAGGCCCTGGTCCCCAAAGGCCCGTGACAGTCAGGGCAGAGGAAGTGAGGGAGCCCGGTCACCTGCCACGTACCGGGCGCGTCCGCTCTCGCGACATCCACCCACGCCCTCAGCCACTTCATGTGGCCCGTCCCCAGGCCCGCCTCACACATCAGGCCTCCTTCAGGTGACCCCTCACCCCTGCGCTGGCCCTGTGCAGGTCGAGGCTGGCAGAGGAAGTCGGAGGAAAGGCCAGGATGGGGAGGGCCTGGGGGGAGGTGGCGCTGAGAGCAGGGGGGAGGCAGGATCTGCGGAGGAGCCCCCCAGGGAGGCAAGAAGCTGGGCTGCACCCACCGCCTGGCCTGGCCTCCACCCCGGCCTGGGGAGCTGTGCCGGCAGAGCAGATCCCCCCCCTCCCCGGTCCTGGGGCTGGGCCTGGTGGGAATCAGGAAGTCCCCGGGGGCGGGTCCGGGCCGCAGACCCGCATTCCAGCCTCTGACAGTCTTGCCAACCCGGCCTGTGGGGCCACATGAAAGCCCAGGGCGCTCTCACGCCCTCCCCTCTGCTTCTCGGTCTGGGCCTCCACCTGGGAGGCGGTGCCCTCCTCACGTCCTGCATCACGGCCGGCCGTGTCTCTCCCCTGCTCCCCCACAGCCACACGACACACGGAAATACATTCTCCTTCCTCCGGCTGCGGCAGGGTGGATCCCGACCCCAAAATAGAGCCCGCAGAGGGAGGCCGCGGCCACAGGCCGCCCCGGGATGCCAGGTTTCCTGAGACACACCTGGAAATCCTCGAGGGGCGAAGGCCGGGCCGGGAGAGGCTGGCTTCTTCCTCACCCTGTAATTACCGGCCTCCCCAGGCTCCAGGAGGGCCGGCCCGCCCTGTCCCGCCCTGTCCTGCCCGGCCACCCCGGAGGTCACCGCCCTCTGGGCCTGGGTCTCCCCCGGTACCGCGTGGTGAGGGCCCAGGTGCCTCCGGCACCCCCGGCCTGTGCTTCTGTGTCCCCAGCAGGCTGAGTGCAAACTCAGAGCTCAGAGGCTCCCGTGACTACATCAGACCCCGGCTCCACAGGTCAACAACCAGCCCGAAAGGGCCCTGGTTTGAGGCCAAGCCAGCAGGAGGAGGCGCCGGCCATTCAGAGCCCTGCTCCGTGGGCGCCCCAGCCCTGCAGCCCCAGGCACCACCCAGACACCCTCCTGTGCCTCTCAGCGGGCCGAGTCCCCCAGCTCGAGCTGGTTCTCTCCTCCGGCCCCTGTCACCCAGCGTGGCCGAGCCGGCAGGACAGGCCCCAGCACAGACCGGCCCCCAGCAGCTCCCTCTCCTCTGGGAAAGCCTGCTGTACCCTGTCACTCGAGCAGGACACGGGGCCGTGGGGCTCCTGCATCCTCGACGCCCCTCAGCCCTGCCCAGTCCTCCCGTCCTCTCCTCCTCAGCAGTTTCCCAGGCCCCACCATCCCTCCCAACGCCAGCCCTGGAGGGGACTTCCAAAAGGGAAATCGGACCCTGCCCTCGTCCCCTTTGCGCCTGTGCTGGCTTCCCTGCACGCTGACTTAGTTCCCCGGGCGAGAGGGCCTGGGAACGCTGCCCGGAGCCTGAGAAACCAGGAGCCCCTCGGCCTCTGGCCGCTTCCATTTCAGACTCAGGAGGATTTCCCCCTCGAGCTGGGGCAGCGGTGGTGAATATCCCCAGCCTTAGTCACCCCCGGTCAGAGACGCACGCGCACGCTGTGACACGTGCACACGCAGTCACATACACAGACCCACACACGTGCACGCTTACATAGACGCTCGTAACCTGGGACACACACACACTCACCACAAGTACACGCATGTGCCGCGAGCAGGGATGACTCTGGAGGCGACACCACGTGCGGTAAAAGCACCCGCCAAACAGTGGCCTACGCGCTGGGACAGGCGTGCCGGGGTGAACGAGCACGCACGCCTGTGTCCTTGCGGTCTCCCAACACGGACAGCAAGTTGTGCACACACACGTGCACGTGCACACAGGCACGCCGACGCCCCCCTGCTCATGCACACACGCGCACGTGGACGTGCACACACAGGTGGGCTTGGGGAAGGAGACGGTGAGGACGGAACAGCAGCCCCGTGGCAGGGAGGGCCGGTTACTGGGCTCTGAGACGCAAAGACTGGATTCTGGGCCTCGCCAGAAAGGGAAGGGAGGAATCCCCGTGGGCTCAGAGGACCGGGGCAGAGCCCAGACGCCATGCTGCCCTTTCTCGGATCAACTCCGTCCGTGCCCAGTGAGCCTGAGCCAGTCGGGACAGGCCCCGGGCACAGACGGGCCTCCAGCAAGCTGCCACGCTGCTGGCACACGTCGCCCCTGGGCCTGCCAACTGGTAATTGCAGGGACTGGCTTCGGGCACGAGGGCACCACTCGGCTCCCCAGGGCTCGCTGCAGCCCAGCGGGCAGGTGAGGCCTCGGAGCTCCGACATCCTCCGGGGTGACTCGGCAGACCGTGGCCTCCCGGGTGGACGCTGCTTCCCACCCAGCAGGAGACGCCTGCTGGGTCCAGGGACGCGTGGCCCTGAGGGGAAGGGCAGGTGGGCCTCCCCCGGGGGCGCCGGTTACTCCAGCAAAAGGTGCGAGGGGAAAAGGGGAGAGCCCCCAGAACCGGGCTGTCTGCCCAGCACATCTGGCCCCCGCAGGGGCCAGAGAGCAGGTGGCATGGCCACCCCAGAATCCTTAGCTGCCCCTGACCGCAGCTATGGTGGGCACACATCCTTGCTGTCCCTGCCCGCCTCCTTGTGGGCCCCCGCCACGGGCGGTGGTGGGGCAGACACGTCTAACCCTGGTCCTTGCTCAGGAATCTTCAAGGCTGGGGAGGGTGGCGCCCACTCCCGGATGTGAAGGCCTTGGTGACAGGAAAGCTGGCTCTCATGGGGCCAGATGATCTAGTTTGGGCTGGAAGGGGCCTTAAACATCATCTGGGGCAACTTCTGCGTAAAGACAGAGAGGGTCAGACTGTGTCACAGACTTTCCTTCCTCCCAAAAGTAAAAAGTAATAACTCAGAAAAAAGTTGTTCTTCCTCAAAGAAAAGAACAAAACCTAAGGAGATCAATGTTCCATACCGGCAGCCAAGGGAAGATACAGACAATCTGGAGCAGAGTATGGAACTTCTCACCTCACCACCCCCGACAAGCCCCCGTATCTAGAGGAAAGTCAGCTGAGTAGGGGTCCCTTGTTCCCGCTCCTGAGAACCAGAGGGGAAGATGCTGGGAGAATCGGGGGAAAGTGGAGAAAAGCAAACGATGACCCAGTTCTGATTCCACTTGAGGCCAATAAGAAGTAGAAGGAGGGCCACGCACATGAGGGAGACTTAGCGCACGCCCAGAGGACAGCCGGCCCAGGGAGGCTCACAAAGTCTCCTCGCCGCCCGACAGAGCCCTGCAAGCCTCTCAGGTGACAGAAAACCCAAAGCACAGACTTCAGACTGTAGCCCCTTTGAGGGGAGAATGTCCCCAGGGAAGGCTGGAGAGCGAGGGCAGGGCCACCACGCGGGGTCAGGGCAAGTTCAGCATCGGCGCAGAGCCACCCAGGCCCAGGCCCAGGCTCGGCACAGAAGGAACGAGAGGGAACGAGACGGATCATCGACAGACCCGGCTAGCGCCTTCCCAGCCCACACGCTTGAAGGCATGAGCTGCTGGATGAAAGGGGCCCACGCAGCAAGCAACAGCGGCGAGGGGCTGAGGTCCTCAGCCCGCGATGCCCCCGCATCCGAGTGAAGCCAACAAGCACTCGGTGAGCTGGGGTGGGTCCCTGCCCAGTCGGGCCTTCAGATGAAACCACGGACCCGGCCAACACCCACCGCGGCCTGTGGAGGACCCAGCTGGGCCAGACTGTACACGTGTGTTATCTTGAACTACTACGTTTGGGGATGATTTGCTTCACGACACAGGATAACTAATACACTGGTTGAGCCGTGAATTTCAAGAATAAATAATGAAATCTCCAGGCATCCAGGTGGAAACAGTGAGTCAGCATTCAGGGTTTTTTTGAACGTGAGGCAAACTTTATTCTCCACGGCAATATTTGTGGCCAAAAGACAACAGAGCAAACGCAAAGCTACAGGGAAGTAACACGTGACCCGAGAGTCTTAG